TCCTTGATTCCATAATTGGTATTAAACGAGGTGAAACAAAGTCCTTTCCGCTTGTATTTCCTGAATCATGGCAACAAGAAAATCTTTGCAGTGTTCATGCTCAATTTACTGTGAGTTTCTTTTTCTTTTACTGTTAGTTCCTGAATAATGAAACTCTCTTCTTATTCTCTTTTTTAATTTTCTTGTAGGTTGATTGCAAAGAACTATTCTATAGAGATTTACCTGAGTTAAATGACTCTATTGCTGATAAGCTTCTGCCTGGATGCACTGACTTGCAACAGGTTACCACAGCACATGAACTTACCTTTTTTGTGATTCTAATTCCTACGTTTAAATTTACACAAAACGTTTCTGCTGCATGAATCTGCAGGTCAAGGAGTCTTTATTGGAAAAGTGCCGTGAGGTGGAGCAAGCTGCCAGAGAACAAGCAACAGATAATGCCATTCTAGACCAGCTTTGCAAGGTTATTAATACCAACATCTGGATTAGTTTCATTTCATTATGTTGATGAGGTCTCTCTCTCTCTCTCTCTCTCTCTCTCTCTCTCACTGTTCTAAATACTAACTCAACATTATGATGTTCAATCAGATGGTGGAAATTGATATTCCCCAATCCTTATTTGAGGAACAAGGTAGGCAGCTTTATGGAGCCAAACTTCTAGAGATTCAGGTAAGGAGTACCCGTTTCTGAGGACCAAGTATCCATACAAATTAAGAATCTGTTTGTGTGTGAGTGCGTGCAAACGCGCGTGTGTTGAGTCTGCACATGTGGTTTTTTGCATGCGTTTGTACGTATGCATGGCTACACCAAATTCAATTTATTGTTTCACCATTGCAGGCAAATGTAAAGCTAAATGAACAGCAGTTGGCTTCTCTGTCAAGTCCAAAGGCAGTGAATGAATATCTAGAGAACCAGCGAGAGAACATAATAAACTTGATAAAGCAGAATCTAGCAGTAGGAGATATATTTAAGCATGAAAATTTGCAGGTAGTGTATATGCTTCTTACCTTACCTTCAAACTTTCTGACACAATTCATATGACTGCTTTAGAAATTCTATTCTATGCAATTTTATGTTCTTAAAACTGGTTTACTCGGCAGTTTTCATCAGACGAGCTCGTGAAAGAGGTTCAGAATTCAATTGCTGAATTCAAACGTCACAAGCAAAAATACGATGAGGACCGTGTGAGAGAACAGGTCAGTATTCTAATATGGTGGCTATCACCATCTTTATAGTGTCTGGAACACTGCCACCGGTTCCGGGTGTAGTTTGAATCTTGTTATTGTCCAAAACATGCTTCATTGTTCTTGTTGTGAAAGTTGCAGACCTTGACCCTAGGATACAAAATCCAAATCACCTGTTCATTTCCAGGTCACGTGGAGCAATAACGTTGATGTTCTTTCTGAAATTTTATAGGTACAAGACGTGCTAGAGGGAGCAAAAGTGCTTGAATGGCTTAAAGAACATGCAGATATTCAGTATGTAACTAGATAAGAGAAAGAATACTCAGCCCTTGGGGGAGGGAAGGAGTTGGACTCGGATTGCATTCATGGCTACTCTCTGATTGCAGGATTTTGTCTTCTTTTATTTCTTATTTATTCTTGTATAAATTGATTTCTTTGTATGACCAATAGAATCTAGACTTTTTTAGTGGAGAGATTATGAAAGGTTCTTTACAAGATTAACCAGTTCAATTTGTGGGCAACCTTGTATCAGAACAAACATTTTATGAAACCTCAAGTTTGGCAAATTATGGCTTAAAAAATTCATCAAGTTTGAAGTCAATTGATATTTTCTATCATATAACGTATGACGTGATCACATGACAACCATATCTGATAATCATTTTTAAGTTAAAACACACAGCAAATAGGAACAATGGAGACACCAAGTTAAACCAAGAACATGATAACCATATCTGATCAACATGAGCTAGAAAAAATTTGACTGATGTTAAACCACCTTCCAACATGTGGAAGACAAGCTGAATAAGGAGTTCCAAGATACCAACACTGAATAACAAGGAAGCTCTACGTCCCACTTTTCTCCAAGTGGTTTTGCATCAGAAACATGAATCGATCATTCTGATCTCTAGTGCCATGAAACCAAGCTTACTAACTGTAAAAAGCTTTGTATATGGAAACTAAACCCACGCCATGATGCAAGATGGTAGGGATCATACAAGTACAAGAGACGTGGAAAGACTGTATTCAAGTCCAATCCTCAGAAAAAGAAGTGTACACTATTCTGACCTTCATTCCAAGAAACTTCTGGTGGAATCGCCCTTCCAAGTTTGGATCACTTAGCATAGGATTCAGGAAACTGTGTGTGATTAACTTTGAGATAGTCCAAGCACTCTGTCCTGCAATATCTGTCCCAACTTCTTATATAGATTTTGCTGCTCCTCCAAAGTAAGGCTGCTTAATATCTGGAGAACAAGGAAACAATATAAAGAAGACAATAACAAGAATGGAATCGATTCCACAGAGCTATAAATTTTCATATATGTATAAGAATAAGTGGTTACCTCGTCCATAATCATCTCAACTGTATAATCTTGGGGAACAATAAATGACTGATGATAGATGTAGGCAAAAACAGCCATTACCATCTGGAAACACATGTAAACAACAGTTGAAAAACACACAAAAGATTTCTCACATTGAGCTTTTAAAACTACACAGAAAGAAGAAAATACTAGCAGCTTGCCTGACAGTCCATTCTGTCTGTAAATCCACCATGTCCAGGTATACTATCACCAAAATCCTATGTCATCCAAGAAAAGGGTTGGTCAAGGAGGTTGCAAGGGGTGTGCGAAAGTTCGTGAATGTCACAATAACAAACAAAAAGAATGCACCTTAATCTTGAAAGCTCTCTTGAAACCACTTGCAAAAAAGCCTCCAAATGGTGCAATAATTGATGCAAATAAGCCCAGGCATAGAGCATGCCACTGAACTGGCAAAATTGCTATCTCTTTCCAAGGCAACTGCAACAATTCACTAAAAGCAAGTTACTGAGCTGATCATATTCTGTTAGACAGATGAATACACAAATAATTTTAATGAATGTCGAGAACTAAGAAATATTGAATTAGCAGACTTCAACTAGAACATAACACCATCCATGGCATTGACGATCCTGGGCTATCAGCAAAGGTTGGAGATAGTTAGTCCACTTTGTTCTTTTACATGCAGATGGTAGCAAGTTTGTTGCCAAATCAACACTAACGAAATATGGTAGCAAGTTTGTCCATTAATGATAATGTTTCTCCATCCCTCACTCACCCATTGAGAAATCCATCCTGGCAAGGGATGATACTCTGGCATAAAAAGTGGACCAGGATCACAGTGAAGCCAACCAGTTGATAAATCCTGCATGCATTTCAGTCATATGAGCTTTATCAGAATGGCATGGTGCTTTTTTGTTTAAGGATGAATGAATTCCATGATGAGTTACCTTCCTGGGACATGTCAGCCACTGAAAATGACCAAAGACATTTGCAAGCTGCATAAAAGATAGTGAAGAAATTATGTTGATATGGATTCCCAATCTATCAATATATCTTCCAAGATTAAACCCATCTGCCATTGATCTATGGACTTTCCAACATTTTCAAAGCTTTGATTTCAGTACATGACAAGTTTTGATTTCTTTATATGATTAGGTACACCAGCTTCCCTCAGATTATCAAAGCACTATAATTAGGTTCAAACATGTTATTTGCAGCATAATGAGCCTTGAGCATCAGAAATCAATCACCTTGCAGAATCAAACTACCAACAATGGCACAAAACAATGAATGAGGATTCTTTACTTTTTTTCAGTTCTATAGAAAACAAGAAAGTTGGAAGACTGAATCAATCGCAAAGTAAAAAGTTCTTACCACAAATGCAGAGATCGTAGTTGCAACAGATGCTCCGATGAAACCCTCCCATGTTTTCTTAGGAGATAGCTTGATTAAAGGAGTTTTCCCGAAAAAGAAACCAAAGAAATAAGCAGCAACATCATTGACAGCAATTAGTGATGCTGGGAGAAGGAACCTTTATAAATGCATGACTTGTTAGATTTCAGTAACATAACAGGGTAAAAGATGAAAATATGTACAATGTACTGAAGCTTTTATATATCTTCTTCCTTCGAGTGAACTAGATGGGTAAAAGCAAGCCGATAGAAAATAGATAAAACAACATATTTCAGAACAAACCTAGACTTCTGGTGCTATAAGAATTTGCTGTTAGGAAGTCATTCAGATGATGCTTATTTCAAAATGATTCATAGTGTTATCTTTCTGTTGCAGACCTTTAAAATGTAGATTAACAAGGCAGGATATGATAATTTCGATATGAAAGGAAAGAAAGGTATCATTCAGAACTTAAACAAAAAGTAAACAAACTACTAAGCACTACTTTGGACTGCATGTTACCAGAAGATGCCTTCAAAAATGTTGACTACAGTAAATGCTGACTGAGTGAAGACAACAATGAGAATCATGTGTGTCCATGCAAACTGCCCAAATTGATACTTGTACATCTTCTTCTTTAGTGTAAGAATGAACCACATGAAACCTGAATCAAAAACAAATGGAAGAAGATTCATAGCTCAACAAGCTAACTGCAGAACAGGCAGATAACAAGAGAATGCAGATAAAAGTAACTAAACGCAGAAAACTTAATTGACTCCATAATCGTTGTGAAGTGCAAGCAAAGACAATCAAGATGGAAAAATGCTCAGGGACTTATATGTACAGAGAATGAGTATATCTTGCTTAATTTCAAAAGGAAAATAGATACAAACCTGCTATGTATAAGAAATAACAAATAACCATCTGATACTTGATGAGCCTACTCACAAGCCTATAGAAAATTTTATCTGAAGTTACGGTATTCACAAGCCGGTGACTGAGAATGCGACCATATACAAACAGCATAGCCGTGAAGTAAAAGTGCCTGCAAGAACATATAATTAATGCCACCTGAGCATCAGTCTCTTAGGTGCTACCACAACATCAAAACTTGCGTTGGGATTTTATCTTACCAGTTCAAGATCCTGAACCCAGGCAGGCGTTTATCTTCATGTGCTTTTCTGAGTAGATTGAAGAGCTCCCTTGCCATGAATATTTGGATAATAACAACCATGGCCCAAATATAAAGATGTCCTAGATAGAGGATCAAGAGGAAGCCAGCAAGCATCCACAGAGATGAACATGCACGAACCCACATTGATCTATATTTGTTCTCATCATAGGCAAGTAAATGATTTCCATTTGTTCTGCCCATCTCGACGGGAAACTGACACCAAAGAACATAGTCACACACTTTTCACCCCTTGCGGAGAAAATAAAAGACAAGGATCTTAAGCACGTAAACAGAACAAATGGCACATCATGTGCATTCAAGCATGATAGAAGTATCACTATATAGTCCACAATTAGGTGAAAGGGATTGATCTTTCCAGAAGGATTAACTGATATAAAGGCTAAGACTCAAAAAGATGAACAAACCTTAATTTCCTTTCAATGCTAAGTATTTAAGAATCAACCACTCTAGAATGCTTGAGTTTATAGAGAATGATCGGATTCATTGATCCATACGCAATGCACATGGCAAGCACCTAGAAATATGCATGAACTGACCCAAGCAACACAGGCAGACACAGAGAGAGAACATGAGAAGAGGCATATATACATTTATGTAACAATATACAAACCTCATTGGAACGTCTCCTGTGCCGAACTCGACCAGAAGTAGGTGTAGCTGGTGCATTGGTACCATGATCCTTCTGCATTGCTCTTATTAAATATATTGTTACTCTAATAAACTTTCAGACAACATAAAACACCCCCTGCACCAATAAAAAAAGAAAGGTTGGGTGTCTTCTCCAAAAAGAAAACTATATATACAAATACAAAGACAATGTCAAGCAATGGATATGAAAGAAACCACCATAGAGACATTGATCACCTAAGCAGAGAACCCTTTTTTAATTTTATTATTATCTGATTATATTTCTTCCAATCACATTGATCGTTTACCTTCTTGAAAATGAAAGGCAAATTCAACCCAAGATTCTTTCTCTTATCTGTATTTTCATGCATCTAAAGAAACTCAAACCTGTAGTACTAAACCAGACATTCTTCAATACAAACTAACAACAAAAATGGAGGAAAGGGGGAAGCGGAATGAATCGTTACCAGTGGAAAACCATAGCCATGCAATCTGTTATTTACTATAAGGAACAAGGAGGAAAGGGAAAACAGGAGACCTTACACTGTGAATCTGAAAGTTTTCCACGTCCTTTGATTGCAAACCCAGATATGGTGAAGGATCAAAATGTCATAAAAATGGAAGACAATGAAAAGGGTCCTTATGTTTTTGAGTTCTTTGTTCCCAGGGCGCCACCGATTCGCAGGAAACAAACAGAAAGAAAAGTGAAGAAACATGAAGAACTCGTCATCTTCCTGGGACCAAACAACTTGGAACTGCCATAAACTGCCACGTGGATCGGATTCAGAGAGTTAGTTGTGGCAAGTCACCACGTGTAAATCAGTTTCTGTTTTTATTCTCCCTTCGGCCCCTTTCTTGGGATACCACGACTGACTGCTTAGGTTCCTGGCCCAACATTATTGGAAAATGGGCAAAATTTCTGAGCCCATTTTTTTTATACAACTTTTACATGTCAAATTTTTTTTATTACAACGTTCAATCAAATTTATTTATTTTTATTTTAAATTAAATAATTATTTATAATAAATAATTATAATTAATTAAAATATTATTTATATTTTTATATCATATAATATTAACATAATATGTTAATATATCATAATTGATAATAATTCACTGTTAATATGACATGATCATATAGCATTTTCACTTTTCTCATTAATGTATATTGGTATCATATGTATATATAAATAATAAATAATATTTTAATTAATTATTATTAATTTATCATTAATCATAAAAGCCTATTTAGGTATTAAAATACTATTTATCTTTTTACGTTACATAACACTAACATATCACAATGAATGATAATATCGCATATTAATGTGACACAATAACATGATCATACAGCATTTTCACCTTTTCACATTAACGCACACTAGTGTCATGTGGACATAAAAATAACAAATGATATTTTGATTAGTAACAATTAATCAACTATTAATTCTAAAAGCTCATTTGACGCAAAATAAAAATATAAATATTTGATTGAAGATAATAAAAAATAAAAAAATTTTTAATTTTTTTAAATAATTCAAAAAAAAATTAAGTATTATGTATAAATTTATCATAATTTGACTTCAATTTTACTTTTGATGTTAGTGAAAATTTTAAGTCCTAGATCCTTTGTATTAGCAACTTATGAAATTAATTACATATCACCACATATCACTGCAATGAATTAACATTAAAAATCAATATTCCATAATTTTGTTATTTTAACACGACAACATAATTCATTAAAATTAAACGTTGACTAAATCGTGTTATAAAAAAACGTTTGAGAATTTAAAATCGATTAGAATATTTTAACTTATCCTTAAGTTATGTGAACAACGAATCCTTGATTTATCCAATTTTCGACATGGATATGCTGCTATAAGGAAAATGTCTACAAACAGTATAAGATATACACTTTTTCAAAAACAAAAAAAAAAAAACTTTTTGTGTTCCCTTCCTCTTTTATATTTTAATTTGAGATTTTTGTAATTTGAATAAAGGTAAAATAAGGACAAAAATCATGTGATGGGGGGGCTTGGCTTGTTCAATGCACCCAAAAAAGCAAAAAAGCCCCCATAACAAATCTCTGTCTAGGCCACATGAAGCAAGCCCTACTAGTCTTCTTCTCATTGGTCTGACATCCATCTCCCACCAGGGTTGAGTCAATCATTAGGTAAAGATATCCAAACACCTAGTCCAACCTTCATTTAGCCTTTAAATTAAATTAATTATAAGGATTTTGTTCAATCCAACCCAAACCCAATGAATAATTAATCCTTTTTTCCCATTTTTAATCTCCAAAGTGGCCAATTTTTTTATTTCATTGAGACTATAACTAGTGACTTAATGTCCCACTTACAATTTTCCTTTTTTTTTGTCTCTATTGCATTTCTCCATGCAAATGATAAGTATTCTTTGGTCACCATAAAGTGTTTTTGAGGTATTTACCTTTTTAAAAGGTACTAAAATAATAATAAATTAATAATATTATTATTTATTGCCTGTATACACAATTAAATAATGACCCAAAAAAAAGATACCCATTCAGCCATTCTTAATCCACATGCATAAAGGAAACATAATCAACACATTTCATATGACATATACATATATTTAATTATCCAAACCTTATGTTATTTTTAATTAGATTACATTTTGCTAAATACCCATTTGGTCCAAGAAAAACATTTGTAATAGAAGTTTCATTTTGGGCTTTTGTCACCCATAAGGATAAGAGTAAATTTACTTTTCATTTTCACTTAATGCATTGGATTGTGAACTATGATGCCATTATCTTACCTAAAACATATATATATATATATATATTACTTCCTAAAGTATTTTAATAAAATAATTTATTGTGTTGATTTAACTTGTGAATAGTCTAAAGATAGATATGAATTAAAAGGTCCAATCAAGAGGTCTCTTTGAAGAGATTTAGAGGTAACATATCAATTATTAGAAAGTCCAAACTTAAATAATTCATGAATTTATATTTTTTTAGGCAATATATCCTTTTGTATAATGAAATCTTGTATAATGCAGCTATAGAAATTATTTAAATTTGTACAATGCAATGAAATTTAAAAAAAAAACACTGTAAAAAAATACAAAAAGTGTTATCTAAAATATTTTTAATAACATATTTAAAAAATATACGATCTTAAATCAAATTTGTTATAATGAATATGGAGACATGTAGTTATTTTTTAGTGTAATTTTCAATGCTATAATTACCAATAAAATCAAAATAAAAAACATTGATTTTTGGAATCTATACCTTTCTTGACCTGGTGGTCAAGATCAAGTGATGTTGAAAATTGAATCTGATGATCTTTACAACCTTATTTTAAGCTAAAATGAAAGACATTAAATATGAGAAGGTAGTGGAGAGCGCTAAGCAAACCCAAAAGGAAAAAAAATAAAAAAAAAAGAAAAATTATATGTTTATGGGGCAAAATCTAACTACCAAAAAAAAAGTAATAATTAAAATATACAAATACTATATAGTTTATGATAATTATGATAGCAATATCTAAAAACTAACTTGGTGAGGTCCTAATAAATGCCAACACCCATTTGCATGCCAATGATGCTTTAAGATTTTTGCAAGACTGAGACTTGTTTGATTCCTTGATGCCACCTAACACTGACCCATGACCTGTGCCCTTAGACCTTCCCCTTCTTCACACCAATCATCATCCTTTTACCCCTCTTCCTTCCAGTTAATTACCAACACGCCACCCTCATTTCATTTGACTTAATTTTTTCATAATCCACAAGTATAAATTTTTATCATCAAATTTTCGTACTTACTATAATATAACATGTGAAATATTAATACATTATAATAAATAATGATATAATATAATAATATAATTATATAATATTTTTATTTTTATATAAATATTATATAAATAAAAAATAAAAAATAAATATAAAAAAATTTATCTAAAATTTTTTAACTACTGTAATTTTTATTTTTAGATGAAAGCTAGTGTAAATGTGGGTGTGATTGATATTGAAACAACCCTTAATTGTAGTGGTTGATGAATTTCTTTTAATTATTATTTTATGTTATACTTTATAATTATTTTCATTGATTCTTTATGATGGAACTAAGAACATTTATTTAGAAATTAATTAAATAAGGGTAACATTATTTAATTTAAGTTTTAAGCTAGTCTTGGAAACGTTTTTTATTATTATTTTTTGTTGATTTGGGAATTAAATATAAATGTTCAGGTAATGCAGTAAAGTAATCTTTTGTTTTAAATTAATTTTTATAATTTTATTACATTCGATTTAACTATATTTTTGGTTATATAATAAGACATAATAAACTTTTTTAAAAAAATTAATAATTAGATTTGACTTATTAATATTAAAAAAAATTCTCCTTATATTGTACACTTGTCGACGGCTTATTGGTTGGTCTCGTAAAATTACTTATTGGATTAACAAACCAAAAAATTTTCTTTTTTTTACCCCAAAGTCATACAGTGACAAAAAGGTCAATTCGAAAGGGTTAGATACTGACAGTGTCATCTTCGTAAATAACCCCAAAAGACACGGGTACTTATCCATCAGAAGAATTTGTCAGGACAACTACATATATGAATGGGACCCACACCCTCCATTTCCACTTCCCTTTCACCAGTATTTCTAAACTAGAGCTTCTCTCACTCTTACACAGGCTCACTCTCTCAGCAAAGATCAAAGCTTTAGATCTGAAGAGAACTAACCCAGAAATCTTTGCTTAAAAGAAGATCTGGGTATGCCTTAGTTTTTTGTTTTTTTTTTTGTGTCCTTGCTGTATTTTCAGGCATTTTCTTTTCTTGTTGCTTTGATCTCTATGTAAATGAAGTTTGGTGTTTCTGTTTTTTGGGTTGTAGTTGGGTTTGAGAGAGATCTGAAGTGTTCTAGAGTTGTTCTTGTAGTTGGGTTTGTGAATGTGTGTGGTTTTAGGTGGAAAATGAAGGTTTTTGAGGTTTGTTTTTTGGTGATTGAATGTTAAGTGAATTTTGAGAAAGAAGTCAAGTTGGGAAAGTTTTTTTTTTTTTTGTTGTTCAAGCTGATTGTTTGGTTCAGTGAATCAAAGTAAGTGTTTCTTTGGTTGCTGAGGAATGTGGGGATGAAAAGTTAAACTTCTTGTTTTTTTGTTTTTTTTTTATGCTAATGGTTTGGCCAGGGAGTTTCATATTTTTAATAAATTTTGTAAGCTCAATAGATCGAGCTGGTATCTCTATTAAGCTTATTTGGAGGGGTGTTCCGTTGAAAAAAAAAAGCTTATTTGAAGGTTATTTAGTTTTAATTGATTCTTGAAGTAAGATGCATGTGTCTTTTCCTTGTAAATTCCAATCAGATATGCAAGATTCGTTTTTCTTGGTTCTTGAAGTAGACATTCAAGGGTACTTTTTCTGTTTGTTCTTGCAATAAGTTATTCAAGATTCATTTTTACCCCCGTCGTAAATTTCAGTGTTTGAGAAACCAAATTTTCTGCAGTTTCAATTGCTTGATCAATTGACTTTGGTGCAATATATATGACTGATTAAGTGTGTTCTTTTAACTTCTTTTTTAGGGTGTCTGAATTAATAGTACTTGCTGTTAGTCAGCTTATTGCAATTTCCCAAAGACAAAAAGTTTATACTGGGATTAATCTAGTCTTGTTTGCTAAATGCCATAGTTGCATCATAAATTGTCTACTTATACCTTTGAGGTTCTTTTATATCATTTTAAATAAAAATTTTGCCATGATTTTTTTAGTTACTAAAATTTTTGAAATGACTCTTAACTTGATGACTTACCATTGTTTGTAACTTTTGCTGTCAGGTGTTTATGTAATTTAGTCTGGTAAACTGCTGTTTCTAGCTGGTCGATAAGGTATATTTATATAGTTCTCTATTCCTGGTTTGGCTTTTCATGAGTACCTCAAGATGCAAAAATAATTTGTGTTAACGTCTATTAACTGCTTCTCCTGGTACAGACTAAGGTGAACTGCTAGAGTAAATGGCGGTAACGGATGCGCAAAACCCTCTTCTAGGAGAAACCACTTGTGGTTCTTTACTTCAGAAACTGCAGGTAACGTCGCTTCAACTTTGTTCTCTCCCATCAAATCTTGTTTCTAGTCAATGTCTGTATGTGGAAATATTGCCACTAAAAAAATGTTCTGCAATTGGTTGTAGGAAATTTGGGATGAAGTTGGTGAAAGTGATGAAGAGAGAGACAAGATGCTTCTTCAGATAGAGCAAGAGTGCTTGGATGTGTACAAGAGGAAGGTTAAGCAGGCTGCAACATCAAGAGCACAACTTCTTCAGGCCTTGTCAGATGCCAAACTTGAACTGTCAACTCTTGTATCAGCTCTTGGGGACAAAAATTTTGGTGGCATTGTGAGTAATTCCTTAATTTCATCTTATATTCAAGGTGGCTAAAGATAAGAGGAAGTTTACTGTAAAATACAGTGAAGTGGATTCCTCACTATTCCTTTGGGTTTGAGTACAGCCAGAGAAGGCATCAGGAACAATCAAGGAACAACTTGCGGCTATAGCACCAGCGCTTGACCAGCTGTGGAAACAGAAAGAGGAGAGAGTCAAGGAGTTTTCTGATGTGCAGTCACAGATTCAGAAGATATGTGGGGAAATTGCTGGGAATGTCAGTGAGCAAACAGGGACTCCTGCGGTGGATGAGTCTGACTTGTCCCTCAAGAAGTTGGATGAATATCAAGCAAAGCTCCAAGAACTTCAAAAAGAGAAGGTAAATTCATTGCCTTAGGTAACCTGGGTTTTTACATGCATTATTACCACTAAATGCTCATTGCTTTGCAGAGTGATCGGCTGCATAAAGTCCTTGAGTTTGTTAGCACCGTGCATGATCTCTGTGCTGTCCTTGGGATGGACTTCTTTAGTACTGTAACAGAAGTTCATCCAAGCTTAGATGACTCTACAGGTGTCCAGTCAAAAAGCATAAGCAATGAGACACTATTGAGGTTGGCCAAGACAGTCTCAGCTTTAAATGAAGATAAGAAGCAGAGGCTTCATAAGGTATTTCTGTTGAATATGGCAATTCTTTTTCTTTCTTTCTTTTTTCTGTTGGAAATCTACTTTCTGTTTCTCCTCTTGATACCATGTTACTTGAGCTGCTGGATATAGATATATAACCTTATGGAATCATCCGTATACTGGACATAGATATAGGAGCTAATATATTCATCTTCATACATCTGTCCCAAGAAATTAAATTATGAATTCAACCTGTTCCTCTTTTTACAGCTTCAAGAGTTGGCAACTCAGTTAATTGATCTTTGGAATTTGATGGACACACCTGAAGAAGAAAGAAAATTATTTGACCATGTTACCTGCAACATCTCTGCTTCAGTTGATGAAGTTACTGTTCCTGGTGCTCTTGCTCTGGATCTGATTGAGCAGGTAATCAAATTTCTTAGTTCTTTGTTTAAGTTTGAGTGAGAACAGTTGCTTATGTTCATTTTCTTTTGTCATGAAGGCGGAGGTGGAAGTTGAAAGGCTTGATCAGCTAAAGTCAAGCAGGATGAAGGAAATTGCTTTCAAAAGGCAAGTGGAGCTTGAGGAAATATTTGCCCGTGCTCATATAGAGATAGATCCAGAGGCTGCTAGAGAGAAAATTATGTCTCTGATTGATTCTGGGAATGTTGAGCCTGCTGAGTTACTAGCTGACATGGATAATCAAATAGCAAAAGCAAAAGACGAAGCCCTTAGTAGAAAAGAGATATTGGACAGGGTTGAAAAATGGATGTCAGCTTGTGAAGAAGAAAGTTGGCTTGAAGACTACAATCGGGTATTTATCATCTCTCCCTGAACCTCCCTTTCTTTCTGGCTTCTTGCTCCCAACTCTCTCTCCCTTGTGGGTGGGTGTGTCAATTCGCATTGAGGATCAGGAGCAATTCTGATGATAAACCTTTCATTCTAACATTATCCCATTAAGCATCTTGGCCTGAAGTGCTGTGGCTTGACCTCTTGCTAATACCTTAGTACTGATGAATTCTGTTGGAGGTATATAGGGCCCTTTGAGAATTCTAACGACCTCTTTACACTTTAGAGACTCCTATCTAAAGTTTCCTGAGTGAGCTAATAGCAACTAGAAGTGAAGGTTCTCTGTTTTCTGGGTTCTCAACTTATCCCAATCTTCCTTGCTGAACGTTTGGGATTTGGTGTATATGAGTGACTGCTAGCTCATCAGCATTTGTAAGGGTTATACCCCTGCAAATCTATATATGGTAAAGTACACTAAAGACACAGATTTCATGGTGTTCTTCCATGTGAATGCTCATAGTTTATTATCTGTACCTGACATTTGAGTGTTTCCTTTCCACTGATATTATTCTGCTGAAACAGGATGAGAATAGGTACAATGCAAGCAGGGGTGCACACTTAAATCTCAAGCGTGCTGAGAAAGCTCGTATTCTGGTCAACAAAATTCCAGGTAGGACCATCTAGAGTCATACATACAGGACGGTGATTCATATGCCACTGATGGACATCATTGGCATGTGCTGATTCATATTTCTTTTAACATTACGTGGTAGAGGAGAATTGCTATAACGCTATGCTTTAGATCTGTTTAGCATGCATGTGTGGCCTGAGTTTTTTGTATTAATTGGTTTTATTGGCCTTTTGTAGGTATGGTCGACACCTTAGTTGCCAAAACTCGGGCTTGGGAAGAAGATCGTGGGATATCATTTGCATATGATGGTGTTCCCCTCCTTGCCATGCTAGATGAATATGCCATGCTCCGGCAAGAAAGAGAAGAAGAGAAGAGGAGGCTTCGGGTAAGATTCATTTATGAATTCTAACTGTGGAGCTTCAAGCATGGACGTAACAGCCTCTCATTTTGCATGTATATACAGTGTTTTTTTATTTTTCTACTAAATGTAGTAACTTATGAACCTACAGGATCAGAAGAAGTACCATGAGCAGCAAAACACAGAACAAGAAGCCATTTTCGGTTCTAGGCCAAGCCCTGCTCGATCAGCAAGTACGAAGAAGGTGGTGGGCCCTCGAGCAAATGGAGGAGCCAATGGAACCCCTAGCAGACGGTTGTCTCTAAATGCTAATCAAAACGGAAGCAGGTCTGGCGGTAAAGATGGGAAGAGGGACAGTATGAGGCTGGTGGCTCCTGCCAACTACGTTGCCATATCAAAAGAGGATGCTGCCTCCCATGTTTCCGGAACCGATCCAGTTCCAGCATCACCCTGATAATAATAAAATGAGAGATTTTACACCCCCTTGTCATGCTTACTAGTGTTATTACCAGATGTTTAGTGTATTGGTCCGAGTCGAAGAGCTGTTGTTCTAGGGATATAGTCAGTGACTGGAAGAGTATACTGTTATATTAGCTGTGTAATATTGTGATATTTGGCATTTGGAAAAGCTGGTTTTGATTCATATTATTTTGCATTAGTCAGATTTTGTCAAAGTTGGTCTGGCAACAAGGTACCCTATACATCATTGTCAGCATTTAAAATCTTTCCACTGCTTTCCTCCCCATTAATGCACCGGCCTTTTTCCAGAAGCAAGTACGTATGGTACTGAAAGAGAGGCCTGGAGAGGGTCCAGACTCCATAGAAATGGTACTTTTTCTCCATCTTTCTGGTGTGGAGGGGTAAGTTACAGCTAACGGGCAACAGGTAGAATCCTTATCAAGAATGTTTGTTTGCTTAAAATTTGTTCCATTAGAAAATCAATCAATCAGTCAATCAACTTGAAGGTGTTTTTATCCTAATAATTCAGGTTTATATATTTATCTCCCTTATCACCATTGTGTATAACTCATGGAACGTAATTTCTAATTTATGTGTATTTGTATTACCAAACTTGAAACTTAGATCCCCTGCTATTTATTTTACACTAAACACGATTTTCACAACAGAAAACATCTGTGATTAAAATAAAGTTACGTGAACGGTAAGATATTATCATGTGTCATTCTTAATGATATACATATTAATTATATATTTTATTATAATTTATTTTAAGTTATTGATAAGAGAAATTCTATATTGGAAAAAATAATAACAAAATTATT